CTCTCTCGAGTACTGTTGAATTCATTCTCATACATGATTCAACTATATTTATATGACAGATGCGAATATACAAGAATGCATAAATTTTTATGAACACTTAAATATTCACACAGAGTATAGCGGTATATTTTTATCCCTCATTGGACCATATGATGATTTATAATATGTCGAGCCTATTTCCTTTTTTTCGAATGTATAAATAAGCAACCGTATTCACATAATTATTGTGCACAATAATCATGGAGAAAAGAAATTCATATAAACCATTCAAAATCCAAAAACATGTTTTGGATGTCAAACATATAAAACTAAAGATTAAAAAGTCATATCACATGATTCGTCGTTCTCCTAGCACATATAAATCTAGCCTAGCATGTTGGAAATAAGAAAACAAAAAGAATATTAAAGAAACGATATCACACCATTAATTATTGAATTGAATCTTCAATATTTGGGTTATTCTTTGCATTTCTTGTCTACTTCTATGCTCTCAAAGTTGTTGGAAACCATGTATGCAACTGTATGGAGATTCTACTGCGCTCTCAAAGTTTCCAAAAGTTGCATTTTAGTCCTTTAGCTCAGTTTTCTCATCTCTTATTTCTTCTTCTTCCAACACTGCATATCTTTACCAAATTGGTCCTTAACTCTTTGACATCCCCATTTATGCTTCCGGGTCCTCTTTCAACTATTTTCAATTTGGTCCCCGAACTTTAGTTTTCTTCCATTTTGGTCCTTTTTCACTTGTTCCTCCTAATACTTGCCACGTTCATTAATGTTGTCCTATGAAACATAACTTATACATAGCTAAGCTATATTCCAATATAATTATTAACAATTGTCCCTATTTTGAGGCCTAAATAAGTGTATAAAACCCACTTATCATACATCATTGGGTTCACATAAAATGAACAATTAATTGATCTTGAGAGAGACTTTTAATTATATTTGGATAATTGATTTTAAGCTAGGCAAGAGTTAACAATTACAGGTAATTGAGAATTGAATTAGGATTGCAACTGTGAAATCGTGATCCTAGTGCTTTGTTTGATTGCATTTCACTCTAACTTTCATATGATCTTTTTTATTTTTGGTTAGTTGTCAATTAGGAAAAAGAAACTCAACACCGGCATAATTATATGTGTACTCTTGGTGGAGTTAATTTAACTGAAGTAGGGTCATAATTAATCTTTGTGGGACTATCAATTCATCATTATGCTACATACTTAGGATAGGTTCTCTTGCGAGATAAATTGGTAATAGCAACGTGGGGATTTGACCACCACTAATAAGTATTAGTGTTCTTAAAAAATAAAGATTAGAGATTAAAGTTAAAAACGGTGCAAATTTTAATTGTAACTTCAAGTTTTCTAGGCTGAAAATATAGTCAATGCTCATCGACATACAGTGTCTCTGATCCATTAATAATTTTCAATTGTTGTTGGATGGCCCAATAAGATTAGCCATCTTTCATTTATTGTACAAGTAAAAATATCCCTCAATATGACCATAAAACTTATTTTACTATATAAGAATTAAAAAGTATATCACCTATTGAAAAGAGAGGCTAGAGAATTCATTACATCATTATGTTACAACAAATTTTTCGTGCCTCTAAAATTATTGGGTAGTTGCAATTATTGATTGAAAAAGCTAACGTGATGACAATTGTTTTCAAGTAAATAGCTGAACTTTGATTTTTGTTCCAATGGAGGCAATATTGAATAAACGGAAATAATAGAATGGCATGTAAAATCCTTATTCCTTAGTGAATTATTCATTCATCCAACTATGCTAAAGTACATTTCATTGGACCGACAATCCCCAAGCCACATTATCATTTCCATTATTTTAGCATGCCTAAATCAAAATAAACATTTCAGTTATCAACTTTGAATAATGAGAAATTGAACCTTCATACTGGACAAATTCCAGAAGCAAGTTGTATGGGAGATTTAATCGGAATGGAAAACTTCCTTTGATAAAACCCCTAAGCCACTGGCGAAAATAGCTGCAAAAGCATCCATTTTTGTCTTGGGCAAAGATAATCCAATCTCCAAACCTCCCTCAGAGTCCTGGAATTTGCAGAGGGAAAAGGAATCATGATCTCCATCAATAGACACCGCCTCCATCTTTTTTGGCCTTCCCCATCCATAGTCCACGTCATACAAGTTGAACTTAGGTGATCCAACCACTGAAAGATTTCATTTTCCCATCAATAATTCTCCCAATTCTGCTAGCCAATTTGCAGCACCTTTCATCATTTCGTCTTTGTTTTTAACCTTTATTCGAATGATCTCTGCAACTGACTCAGCTGCGATGAAAAATCCATCATTTTCTATCAACTCATGGTGCTTTCTTGTAACAATTGCAACTCCTATGCAATTGCCGAAATAATTAGTAGGCACAGGTGGATTCATGCGTTCCCGGCAATCCACTGCAAAACTGAAGTATTCGGACTCATTTGCATCGACCTTCTCCCCACTAACTGGCCCGAATTTCACCAAACAAGTCCAGACATAGCCAGTTGTAACTGTAGGTTTTTTAGAGATGAAAGAAGAAAAGAAGAAAATGAAAACTGCAGGTTACGAGCACTGAGCAGTAGTCAAAGGGAATTAATTTTATTCAATTGCATGCCTTACATTTATAGCTGGAGGGAAACTGAAAAAACAAGAAAATAGGCTAACTAAAAGCAATAATGCTGCACGTTGTAACTGATCCTATAAACTAGGTCCAACTTTTGACTGGAAGAAAGATAATAAAATCTGAAACAATAGTTTAAAAAACTAAAGTGGACGTGCAGTCCCTGAAGCGTTTTTCAACACTCCTCCTTGCTTTAGGAACTGCAAATTCCAATTTGTTGCCGTAGAAGCTTGAACTTGCTGACTGGAAGTGATTTTGTAGACAAATCTGCCAGCTGCATCAATATTTTCCATCCATCCATCACTCAAAACCTGTTGTACAAGTTCTTGAGGTCCATTTTTAGCTTCTGCCGATTGTCCGGTGTCTCTCATTTCAAGACATATAAAATTTAAGGTTCCAGCCTCCAAAATATCTGACATGTTTTCTCCAAAGCTCTTCTTGTAATCACTGTTCATCTCGATAGCAGTTCGACCTCCAAAGAAAGGCAAGTGGTCCACACCAAGTGAGGGATACTCTTTGTCCCTATCACCTTGAAGTAATGGAGTTCTTTGAGGTCCTGCCACATTTGTGTGATTAAGTTGCTGTTTTTTTGAGGTCCTCCAAGTTGATTTAGGAAATGGAATCCTATTTTGTTTACCAAATTGACGTGCATGACAGTTTGGTATATGATTAGTAGGTAGGCCTCTTCTCATATCATTCTTCTTCATTTTCCACATCCGTTGAGGATGACAATGCCCAAGCCTCTTGTGCCAAATTTCGGTGCTGCTAACCTTGGTGGTATAAGCTGTATGCTCCTCCTCCGTTGGAGCAAATGAGAAACTTTTACCTCTCATTTTAACTCGCAAAATCTCCAGTCTAGCGGCATTAAGGATGTGGCAGTACCAGTTTTCAAAGGACACTTTAAATCCTTTTTCTATTAACTGACTTACACTCAACAGATTTTGATCAATATCAGGTACATAAAGAGCATCAGATATTATTTTTGTACCTGAATTTGTAGTAATTGCAATGTTCCCCTTTCCTTTTGCAGGAATATAACAACCATTTCCAATTTTGACCTTTGTGATTCCTGTAGGCTTCAACTCCTTAAAGAGAGTTCTGTCATAAGTCATGTGGTTTGTACAACCACTATCAATTAGCCAACATTTTGAAGAGTTCCCAGTCGAAAAACATGTTGCCATGAAAATCTCATCTTCTTCATCTTCATCAGCAACCTGGGCATCTGCTTCTTGCTTTTGAAATTTGCTTTTGCAAATCACATCTTCATGTCCAAGCTGATTGCATTTGCTACACTTAGCATCTAGTCTCTTCCAACACTTGTATGGTGGATGACCTATTTTACCACAGTGCTTACAAGGGGGATAATTTCTTTTAAAGCTTCCACCCTTGCTTTGATTGTGGTTGTTTGAAGTGCTCTCACAACTTGAGACTTGATTCTGCTTAGAGTTCTTCTTACAATTTCCCCAGGCATCTTGGTGCTTGACTGGCAAAGCTCACTCAATAATACCATCTCGTCTCATAAGTCTTCGTTGCTCTTGAGCTTGCAAGGCATTTAATAGCTCTGCCAAGGTGATCTGGGACAGATCTTTTGTGTTCTCCAAGGTGGTTATTGAAGCTTCATATCTTTCAGGCACAATTATAAGAATTTTTTCGACAATTCTTGAATCTGTAAATTCTGTGCCAAGTAACCTGACCTTGTTGACAATGCCAAGCAATTTATCTGAGTACTCTTTGATTGTCTCAGACTCTTTCATTTTTTGTAGCTCGAATTCCCTTATTAAATTCAGTACTTGCATGCCTCTTATCCTTTCATCTCCTGCATACTCTTCCTTCAAATAATCCCAAACTTCTTTTGCTGATTTGAGAGACATAATCCTTGTGAAAATGGTTGTTGAAACAGCAGCATACAAGGTTGCTTTCGCCTTTGACTTCCTGGTTCTTCTTTCCTTGTGAATTTTGATCTGGGCCATGGTCGGATTGTTCGGCAGCGGAGGAACTTCATAATCCTCTTCCACAGCTTCCCATAGATCTAAAGCTTCCAGGTAAGTCTCCATTCTCACTGCCCAAAGCTGGTAGTTTTCTCCATCGAAGATAGGAGGAGCAATATGAGAAAAACTGGCTTCACCTTCCATTATTTCACATAGGTCCCTTGAGAAATAAGCTCTGATACCAGATGTTGGTTTTTTAGAGATGAAAGAAGAAAAGAAGAAAATGAATACTGCAGGTTACGAGCACTAAGCAGTAGCTAAAGGGAATTAATTTTATTCAATTGCATGCCTTACATTTATAGCTGGAGGGAAACTGAAAAAACTAGAAAATAGGCTAACTAAAAGCAATAATGTTGGAAGTTGTAACTGATCCTATAGACTAGGTCCAACTTTTGACTGGAAGAAAGATAATAAAATCTGAAACAATAATTTAAAAACTAAAGTTGACGTGCAGTCCCTGAAGCATTTTTCAACAGTAACCACAAAAGATGAAGGATGAACTAAACCTGGGTTTCGGGCAAAAAGTGAATCCTTGAGTTTCTGTATATCAGCTTGGTGAAGAATATACGTGTTCCGAACCTTATTGGTAAGTGAATGCAGAGATGAAAATCGGATAGGAATATTATTCAATTGATTCCACCATAAATTTCCTATTCCATTGGGATCTTGAATGACAGATCTATGAAAGAGTGGCAAGGAATTGGTTTCAATCAACTGTGAATCTCCACCAAGTTTGCTGATTGAAGCCCATGCCTTTATGAAGCCTACAATTGAACTTGCATCCCCGACAGTATGAAGGTTGGTAAAACCAATACACAGGCCATGATTTGGAAACAAAGTTACTTGTAGACAGAAGACTCGAATAATTTTGTACTCGGCTTCCTCTTTGGGTGGTGGCAATTGAGGGACAGAAGGATAGAACTGATATGTATCTCGTGCGTAATTTGCAGTAAGATTATTGAAATTCTCATTCGACTCAACTATAATTAGAGGAACTGAGTCCTCAACCATGTAGCGCAACACAGGCTTTTCATTGTTTAATGGACACAATATGTTGCCTGCTAGTGGAATATAATGTTCGAGGGTGAGGGAGAGTGATTCTTTGAGATTTGGAACGATGGTTTCAAAGAAATAGGCCTTGGAACAAGGGAATTCATAGAACAAAAGACACTGAATTGGATGGAAATACAACCATGGTAGGTCGAAGAATGTCAAAGGTAGTGTCAGTTCATTCACATCGCCAGGTGAAGGTTGGATTTCACAGTGCTCAATTTGGGTTGCCATAGAAATGAAACCAAAATTGAAGTGCTATAGGAGAGATTAGATTGGTATCTGCTGTTTGCTTTGGACCTAATTCTGGTTCAAACAATAGGAAAAGTCCTATATGGTACAAGGAGTATGCTGCAAGAACATAATGGGCTACATAAGGGTGTCCATAATGAACACCCTTATGTAGCCCATTACGTTCAACAAGAATTATCCATGGTACAAGGCTCTGACAAGTCATCAAGTAAGAATCTAATGTTGGAAAGAAGCCAAGGCTGAGCATGTTCAAACTTGGCTCCCGTGATTATGAGGTGTACGGGGTTCCTAGAATGAAATGTAGAAATATATGAAATGTGAATAATAATTTTGCCATCACAAAACGATATCTTTTCTTGTTGCAATGCTACAAGGGTAGGTGCACCCCTTTCTTGAATTAGGAGATGGTCTTAGATCTGGAGCGAAACTAGAAAACTACACGCATGAAGCGTACGGAGTGTATAGATTGCTTAGGATGACCACCCCTTCGTTGGCTTATATACCCTTATCTCAACGGGTGTCATGTATCTCAATTGGGAGAACCAGACCACAAAAGCTAGCCGCTGTAGTCCGAGAGCCCAAGCCTATATAAACCGCACAAAGGAGCTTTTCACTTCCAATGTGGGTTTAGGTATCTCACTTACCCCAGTGGACCATGACAAACAACCACGCTTCCGACTCTGCGTCCACGTCGAGCAGGTGCCCATACACTCTAAGTGGAGCCGAGACCGAAAGACATGATGCCTGCTCTGATACCAATGTCATGTATCTCAATTGGGAGAACCAGACCACAAAAGCTAGCCGTTGTAGTCGGAGAGCCCAAGCCTATATAAACCGCACTAAGGAGCTTTTCACTTCCAATGTGGGTTTAGGTATCTCACTTACCCCACTGGACCATGACAAACCACCACGCTTCCGACTCGGCGTCCACGTCGAGCAGGTGCCCATGCACCCTAAGTGGAGCCGAGACCGAAAGACATGATGCTTGCTTTGATACCAATGTCATGTATCTCAATTGGGAGAACCAGACCACAAAAGCTAGTCGTTGTAGTTGGAGAGTCCAAGCCTATATAAACTGCACAAAGGAGCTTTTCACTTCCGATGTGGGTTTAGGTATCTCACTTACGCCACTGGACCATGACACTAGAAAATGCTTTACAAGAAATGAGTATAGTTTTAACCTGTATTCTTCTTGGGGAAAACTTGAATGCAGGGAAAGCGAAGAGTGAACAGGTTGAGTTGAAATAATATCAAAGCATATTTTTTACAGTCTATTTGATGCATTTAATTTGAGTTAAAGTCAAATCATAAGTTTTTTTTTTTAAAATAAAGTTCCTTATAAATATAAATGGCATACTGTTGTCACTGCTCTAGTAATCTAGCAATAAAATAAACGAAGAGTGAGTGAACTTGTTTATTACTTTTTTTTTTTTTTACAAGTAATGTTTCCAGCTTTGATCCAATAAAAAATTACTTATTTTAAAGCTTACTTGAGCTTAGCATAACATGCTGAAATCACTACAAGAAAATTTTTAATCTGGCCACTTCATGAAAGAACAAAGCTAAATAGTTTAACACCTCTTTTGTTTTATTGTCTACATTTACACTGTTTGTCATTGAACTTAGGACTTTTTTATAGTTTTATGCAAGAAGATGGTTGGTTGACTTGCATCCAAGTTATTAGATTAGCACTCTAATATCTCCTTATCTTTTAACGAATTTTGCAAAGATAATTTCAGGAAGCTTTGCTGTTAAAAAGAATCAATGGTCAATATGGCTGATGAGAGAGATCTAATTGAAATATTGGAAGAGAATAATCCTATTGACATCATCAAATACATCAGTTATGTTCATTCACCACAATGCAGTGCCATAGCAACTTTTTCCGGCACAACTCGTGACACCGTTGAAGGCAAAACAGTCTTAGAGCTAAGATATGAAGCATACGTTCCAATGGCAGTACGCTGCATCAAATCCATTTGTACTTCTGCAAGATCATCGTGGAATCTCAATTCAATTGCTGTTGCTCATCGCTTAGGCCTAGTTCCCGTAAAGACTTTCAGGCATCATTTTAAATTTCTTGTGAACTTCAACCAACCAGTCTACAAGGATCTCTCTCATTTTAGAATTGATTTCTGGCTGCGAATCCATGTAATCACGAACTCGAGCATCATCCTGATAACAAGAGAACCACATACAAACTAAGTCTTTCTGAAATAAACATGAGAAAACGAAGATAAACAGAGAACGAGAAAGAAAATTAGCACACCTCTGCAAGCTTGTAGAACTTGTAGCTATCCTCAACATACTCCACTACTGCCAATTCATTGTCCACATCTGCTGCATCAATGTTAACTATTGGATTCTTTGGATTCTTGGTAATTCCACAAGCAGCCTGGAAAAATGGAGCAGTTAACAGCAGGACAAAATGGTGCAATGGGGCTTCAACAAAACAACAAACTAACCATTTTCCTTAAAAATCGTACTACAACATTTATGTGGTACAATTCTGAATTTTGTGTTCTTGTTTTCAGCTTTTTCCTCCTACAATGTTTGATGAGCTATTTGAGAATATCTGTGAGTATATTGATCGACTTTTCGACATAGTAAGACTGCAGAAACTTTTATATTGAGCCATTGGTGAGTAATGATCATTCTCTTTTTTGATCTTCTTTTAAAATCCGTTGCATATTTTCCACAGATACAAAGGAAAATAGCTATTCTTTGCTGATTTTAGTAATATGAAATCGACTAAAATCAACAAAGAATAGCTGTTTTGGTGCACATTATTCGGTAATATGAAATCGAAGCAGAAAATAAGCTCAAGGCAGTTTTGCAAAAATATTCAAATCCTGATAGGGCTGCTGTTGCTCTTTTTCCACCAGCAAGAAATTTAATTCCAGCTTGAGCGGGCCCATGAATCTTGGCGATCATTTGTTTTCAGATCAATTTACTGTCATGATCTCTCTCTGAGGTCACTATGTTTTATCAGTTAGTAGGAATTGTTCATGATTTGGTGTGTCATCTTTCTTTTCATCTCTTTGCTGTCTCTTTCCAATTCAAGTGCAGTGCTACAATTTCTAAGCAGGGAGTTAATTTTAGTGGCTTCTTTCATGCGAAACAAGCAACAACAATTCCGATCATGATAATTTCTGGTTCAATTTGTAACCTTCAAAATTCTTTGACGTTAAACGATTTGCAAAAGTAAACAAATACCAAATAACACCCGCAGTGAAATTACGCAATCAGTCAATGCCAAAGACAGACAAACTGAGAGCTTTCTTTCATGCTCGCATGAGTCGACAAGCATTATCGATAATTTCCGATTAAATTATATTAACCTTCAAATTCTTTGAGGCTAAACGAATTACAGAAGTAAGGAAGACAACAAGTACCCACACACACAGTGTAACTGAGAGAAATCTTGCAGGTTGAGAAGTGGGTGTTTTAGATAAATCTTCAGCAACCTCTATCAGGGTGTGTTGGATATTTTGTCGACGCTACATCAACACTACAAGAATCTCCACCACTTTCCTTCACCTTCACTGATGTGATCCGGATTGCGTCTCGAATTATGAAATATTTGACGAGTGTTGGCGAGAGAACGAGACCAAACTTTGAGCTAAGTTGGGGTTGATTTGGAATTAATAAAGTAGTGGGCTGCCAAGTTGAATTTAATACATATATATACACCCACAGAAAGCCGGAAAATTGGAAGAGAATTGGAGACCAATTTGGTAGTCAAACATTGTGGCTGAATTTAATAATTATTGACAGACACAGCAAAACGACACAGCAGTTTTGGAGAACATTTGGTGGCTGAATTGGGGATATATATATATATATTGACTGAAATTTGAACCAGATGGGCGGTCAAATTGGCCAGATTCACGTGCAACTGAAATTGAGGATGCTGGAATTAAAACTTTCAGTCAACGAAGTCGACTCTTGTTACTACATGGTATATTTACAATTTTACACGCATAAGGCAGAATGGAGCAGAATTGTCCAGAATGTCGACTAGTTACCAAAGTTGGAAGAATTCTATTTCTTGGGATATTTGGCAGTTTCTTTGTTTGGAATACTAGTGAGGGATCGTGCGTTCACTGTTATAACTTAAGAATTTAATTTTGTAAAATTTGTTATTTTTTTGGGTAAAAAAATCGATGAAAAAAGAGTATCATATTAGTTTTAAAAAAATTACAATAAATGCAATATCTGGAGAATTAAATTGTTTTTATTTAATTACATTATATTAATAAAATGAAAACATTTAAAGTACAAATGTAGTTTAAAAACTCGAAAAAGGAAAATAAACACTAATTTTTTATTTTTTTTTCACAATTGCATAGGCATAGTTAACAATTTTAATGAATCAAAGAAAGTAACATATTAACAAACTTTTTTAAATTACACATTTATATATAATGTTTTTATACTTTAATAATATAGAGATTTATAATTGCAAATGAGCATTTGCTCCAATATGTAAGAACTACCAAATATATATCAACCAAATTTACAATGAGAAGACTCTGAAAAAAATAAAAATAAAAATAAAAATAAATTTATTTGCCATACCAAAACTTAGTTTAAGATGTTCAGTTGATATTATCAAATTGGTACTTCAATTGATATTATCAATTGGTACAATTAAAAATTCCAGACTCTCGATTAATTTTAGAGAGAATATTTTGAGCTAACCTAATAAAACCTAATATCGACCATTTTAACACACTTAAATGCTTAGTTCTCAACTATAAGTATTAAAGATCATTAAAATCAACCAACCATATCAAACCCATAAACTTAAATTGATGGAAGAAAAGTGTACTCCAATAATATTTATAGACTTATCGTTATGTTTACAAATAAATAATTTTTCATCATAAAGTAGTTAGAGGATTTTCATGAAAATTGAAGAATAAAGTGTACAGACGATGAAAGTTATTCCTCTTTAATCATCAGAGAACATCTATGAA